AGAGACAATACGAATCAAATCGCGCATGTTGCGAAAATTAGAAAATTATGAAAAACTATGCTATACAAAACTTATCAAAGTAAACTTCATAAAATCGCACTTGAGCAGCATTCAACATGCATGTGCGCGTGACCAAAAATATAAATCGAACGCTTTCGCTTTCCTTCTCTCTACCTCAAAATGGAGCACTTATAGCCATGATATGAAGAAAATCCAGGTAATATAGACTGGTATGTTCACAGACTATAAAGGCGTATCATCACCCCCTGACTAAAGTAACCGACAAACTGCTGACTCTAATTCTTTCAATATACTTGCAGGCAGTGGATGTGCTAAAACCAACAATATGTTTGGGACCTTCCAAGAAATAAAAAAAAAGTTCTTTGTGCGAAGACGGGACCAGAGATTCGCGCCCTTTCTGAGATTGGGTGTCGAAGCAAGCCAACCAATAGCCGCGTGGATTTAGTGACTCCATCAATTCGAATTCCAACACCCGATCGGTCTTAGTGCGTGAATATCTGATCCCTTCCTTAATACAGTTCTTTGAGGTCAAAAAACTAGTTTTCGGGGGCAACGATGAGGCAAAGCACGCTTTCAGCACTTCCGGAATATATGGAACAAAAAAAAACCAGTGGCCAGTTGGGAATTTCTTATTGAGGTCTTGTTGGGGTGAGAAGGGAAGGTGACAAAAACTTCAGTGAACCAGCTGATGTTGGCCAGTTTCTCCGAAAAATTTTTTGAGATGTTTTACAAATGTTTTGCAGCCCATGAACCAAAATTTTCTAAAATAGCTCGAAAAAATTTTCTTTTTAGAAAATTCTATTTCAAGTCTTCACAATTGAAGACAAGTCACTGGTACAAATTTATGTTGGTGTGCAAGACTAAAGAAATGACTATACCAAAGAAATGATTACCTTCAAAGACCTCGGCAAATCCTTCATGCGATGTTCCGAACATAGCTGTTCCATTATTTTCCACTATCTAGTTATTAAGTTACATACAAAAATGTGAGAGTAAACTGAAATTCCACGTACCCGCTTGATCAGTTCATACAACTCCGTTTCGACATTGTCTCGATTACTATACCATTGGTCTAATCGCGCTCTGGCTAAGTCGCAGAGTGAGCGAAACTCCATTTTCTTAAAATAGCTTCAGATCATAAAAAAACCTCAATGATTTCACTGTACATAACTCTCAGCAGACTATGTCCGCTATTGCTCACACATAAATCACGTTACAGAATTGGATGAATGACGGTAATAGAGATAAAAATGCCAGATTACAAAAGGTACCTAACAAGGCAAGGTCACATGGGCAAAATGGCGTTTTTATATGAAATGTATACTGTCTTATAGAGCATGGAACCCTGATTCTAAATCTGCTATCCATATCCGCAAAATGCCTCTGGGAGAGGAGTTGTGTGCACAGGTTTCTCCGGCGCTTATAGAGGTGATGGATAGCGTGAGTTTACTGACGGCAATTGTTGCATAAGGCCTACTGAAAGTAGACATGGTCCCATTTGAGCTCACGGATTACAATGGAAGAATTTTGTTGTAGCAACGCGCTCGAATTTTTGTATCAAAGAATTCCCATAACTCCCCTCCCCGAAGCGCTTTGCAGATAATGAAAACAGATTTGGAAACAGCGCTTCATGCTCTGTAAAG